ACTTGCCCCCCCCCCGCCCCCCCTCCCCCTGCCCAGCCATACTCACTCTAACCCACAAATATCCCTTTCCCAGCTGGGTCCTGTGAAGAGGGGGTCTGCCCATCCCCAGAGCTGCTATCACCCCCCTGCTGCTGCCCCCGGGCCTGAGGCAGCAGGGGCAGTGCCCTGGGAGGGGTGGCCGGACAGCTGCCCCCCACCAGCCGCCCACCTCCACAGCCCAGATGTGCCGCCGGCCCCCTCCTACGCACCTCCATTCCCGCCCCAGTGGGCAAAGCCAGGTGAGAGCCTGTGGCAGGGTCCTGCAGGGGCTGGCAGGGTGAGCTGCTGCTGTGACAGCCTGGCACCATCAGCAAAGGGTGATCTGGGAGGGAGCTGGGTCGGGCACCCTTCTGTGCTCTGCCTCTTGAGGGACCAAGGCTGGCTTGAGCTGGCTGGTCTGTCCTAGCACTGATCCCTGCTTTGAAGAGCAGTGCAGTGTATGCTCGCCCTTGGAGCCCCTACGCCTGTGCCATTAGGATGTGCTGTCCGCTCCCAAATGCTACTGCTGTTGGCAGAGGCAGAGGAGCATGTCTTCAGAGTCAGGGCTGGAAAGACAAAGCTACCAGCAGAAACTGCACTACTGCTCCTTAGCAAGATCAGCTCTCACTGTCCTTGCCCAGCCTTCCCATGGCGTGTCCCACCTCCAAGAGCCACCCTGCTTTCTGGGACACTCACCAAGTCCTGCCTGACTTCTCTGACGGTCCCAGCTCTGCTTCCAACCTGAGGCATTTCTCAAGTCAGACCTGCAAGCAGAGAAAAGAAAATCCCTGCCCACACATTTGTGCCCATTCTCCCCCAGAGCTTTGCCCCAGGAGCCCTGCCCAGCGCCAGCTTGCTGCTGACCCCTGATCTGTTCTTGCACTATGTTTAGCTCCCCAGGGGGCATATCCACACTTCCTTACCAGCTCGTCTATCTTTGCTGAGGACACAAGAAGCAGGAGGATCCCACCCCTGCCTCTGTGCATCAAGCACAAGCGGACATCCTCGGAGCCGGTGCCTTGGGTACCGCTCAGCCCCGAGCAGCCCAGCCCGAACAGCCTGGCTTCAGGTAATGAAAGGAGAGGCTCAGGGGAGGCAAGGTGGGAAGGAGCTGCTGGAGGTCTGCAGTCCAGCACCTGCTCTAGGCCAGGTTGGCCATGGCTTTGTCTGGCCGAGCCTTGTTCATGCATCAGGCCTGCGAGGCTTCTGGCTTGGACAGACACTTAATGTTCCATGGGCGAGTGGTCGGAGGTGGGGCCAGCAGCTGTCTGTGGGGCTGGTGGGGCAGGACAGGGATGGTGGGTCCTCAAGGAGCTCTTCTGTGCCCCAGCTGCTGCAGGCCCAGAGCAATCAGTTCAACCCCAATGTCCATGTGGAGTGTGAGGTGGGGCTAGGAGAACTGTGGGAGCTGTGGAACTGCTGCCCACAGCCGAGCACGAGGGGGGCTCCCTGCACCTTGGCTGTTAGACACCAGTGCCTCCAGGGCAGGGTTCTTCTGGGGTTTGCTGGAGATGCTGAATTCAGAGATGGGAATGACCCTGTCCCTGTCTTTCAGGCAGTGGATTTGTTTCCATGGGTGCCCCGTAGCAGAAAGATGCCCCCCCCCCTGCACCCAGGTGGGGGGGCAGGCAGCAGTGGCTTGCACAACACAACCCTTTGACAAAGGGGTGAGTGCTGCCAGGAGCAGCTCCAGGATGGAGAGCTGGCCAGCCGGAGCCTCCAGGTGCCTCTAGGAAACAGTCTTATCCCAGCAGAGCTCAGCAGCATGGGGAGCGTGGGGGGGACGGAGGGTGCCAAGCACACAACCCCTGGCAGCTGCATCCTTTCCCTGGTGCTGTCAGCTCTTGGGGCACCTTGGAGCTGTGCAGCCCATCTCCCACCTCCTGGTATCATGCTTCTCACCCCAGCCTCCACCTTATGTCCTTCTACTTCCTGGCCATGTCCCCTTCCCCTGCTGCCCCTCTCCACCCTGTCCCCAGTCCCTCCCCTTTCCAGCTCCGAGAGTGATGGGGTGCTTGTTGCCCACGCTGTACTGTGGAGGAGGACCACGCTGCACTGTGTTGCCTGACAGTGGTGGTTGCTGTTGTCCACCTGTGATGAAAGGTGAGAGGAAATGATAAGCCTGATTGTGTCATAGGTATCCTGAAAGCCACAGACCTCCTCTGCATGCCTGGACCCAGCAAAGTGGGACAGCCTGACCCACACCGATCCCTCCAGGAGCCAGAGCCATGTTCTGGCCATGCCTGGGATGTCCCACCTCTTCTTCCTCGGAGGAGCAGTTTGGTAGGTGGCCAGTGGCCAGGATCAGCTCAGCTCCCACATCTGCCCATATTTATCACTTTTGGTTTTCAATTGAGCTGGAGTTGGCCCCAGTAACTTCTCCTCCCAGCACTCCTGTGACTCCCTGGTGTTAGACATCTCCCTGCTAGGTCCTGGGAACACTACCAAAATCCCCATAAGGCTCCACTGCCTTTTGAGGGAAGCCCTGTTTATGATTTCAGGTTCTTGGCAGGTCAGGGTGCAGTTCTGGACACAGACAAGGGTGCAGTGTCCACACTGGCCCTGCCTCTCTGTGCTCCAGGGGGATACCCTTCTCCCTGAGGACACAGCAGAGGCAGAGCCTTTTCATTACAGGGACCTCACTTGGATTGCTTGGTCTTGGGGTTGTGCTGAACAGCACCCCTGACTCCTCATGCAGAGCTGCCCTGAGAAAACCAGGACCCCAGACAGTGCACCTGCACATGCCGCAGCAGTCCTTGGTGGGAGGAAACCTCCCAGTCTCTCATCCTTGCTCCTCACATCTTTGCCAGGGGCTTTGGGCTCAAGACACTAGAGGTATTTTAGTTTGTGTCTGACAAAGCTGAGGAGGCCTGATGATGCTCTCTCCTGCTTGCAGAACAGACTGCTGCTCCGCAGGGTCCGTGCTCTCTATGACTGCAATGCTGACCGGGAGGATGAGCTGACTTTCCGCACAGGCGAGATCATTGTAGTGTCTGAAAAGGAGGACAGCAACTGGTGGGTGAGTGAACCTGCATATGCTGACAGTGCTGGGATGCACACGAACCCCTCTCCATTCACCTCTCGTCTCTGTCCCGTGACTGTTGCACCCGTTGTTGTCATCTGCTCTGCATCTGTCTCTCCATCTTGTCCTTGGCAACCAAAGGCAGCTCTTATGGGGCCAGTTCCTCATTCCCCTGAATGCCCCTGCACCATGCTCACTGCTACTTTTCCTTCCTTTCTCCACACAGAAAGGGTGGATTGAAGGACAGCCTCACAGGCAAGGTGTCTTCCCTGCTTCATTCGTTCATGTGCTCAATGAGTAGGAGTTGCTTCAATTCAAGAAGGAAGATCCGATCAGCTTTGTAAAATGCAATTCCCCAGCTTCCATCTGCACCAAGAGCCCCGGGGATGAGGGGGCTGGGAGCACCAGCTCACCTGTTGCTGTCTCCCTCACCTCTGCTGCCCCAGCATCCATGTCCCACCACCCCACTCTTCCCATATGCTGCCGGCAGTGCCAGGCTGTCCCAGCGGATCCCTTGGCCAGGCAACGGGAGAGAAGACAGCAACCTGTGTGCTCCACAGATGTGCTCCTGCCCCAGACCATATCCCCATACAGGAAACAGCCCTGGGGCACTCTGCTGCCCAGTGCCTGGTTCCTGCCTTGCCCTGACCATGCTGCCTGTCCCATGGTGCTACCAGCTCTGCACGTGCTAATAGCAACGATGGTAGAGTGGAGCAGCAGTGTACCCTGTGGGGCTTTGAAGCTGCAAGTGGAGCCAGGCTGGCATGCAGACCTCTGGGAAAGGGGCTTCTGTGGCAGGCTGAGGACACTGGGAGCTTCGAAATACAAATGAGTGCTGTGGAGCCAGCACCACCACAAGTCTGTGCCATCCCTAATTCTTACCACCCAGGTTTCACTGTTTGTGCTCCAGAAAATATGCTCTGTGGCAGCTCAGGGCATTGCTCCTTCAGTACCTGGCCCCCCAGCAATGGTGGAGAGGCCCTTTGAGCCTGCTGCCAATAAATACCAGCTCTTTGGTGCTCTGTATTTCGTTGTTCTAGGACTGTTTTAGCTTGAGTTTCTAGATCCTTCCTCTTCGCCATGCTCCCTCAGGCACCAAACCTCCTCACAGGCATCAGAGTGAAGAGGGCTGACCTCCCCTTGGATAAAATTACTCACAGTTCAGCTTGCATGGGTTTTCTCCACTGGCTGTGTTTTTCCAGTTGCCGGGGCACATTTCACAGCCGCCTTCTGTCCTCTCTGAGCCAAAAATCCCATCCACATAAGGAAGAGAAACCAGCCGGTGAGATGCTGGATGCACAAGGCTGTTGAGACCTCCATGTTGCTGCTGTCAGTGTCAGCATAAGTTGAGCCATCCCAGCAGGACCCACAGGGGCAGAAGGGCAGTTCCACTCCAGGCTAGGAACATTTTAATGATGAATTTCCTGATGCAGCCCTGGGAACATGGCCATCCACCTCCAGCAGGAGCAGTGGCCACTGTGGGGCACTGATTGGAGGAGGGATGGCAGCCCTGACCTTGCTGTGCCACTTACTGCAAGGCTGTGTTCTCCCCCACGTCATGTGCAATACTTCCTCTTCCTGTGGTGGTTGTTGCAGCTTGCAACAAGCACTGGTGAGGCGACCGAGCCTGGCCCTGCTCAGCGGTGCTTCCTCTGAGGAGGTGAGGGGCCCCGGGGACAGCTGGCTGGGGAGCAAGGGGTCGTGACACCGTGAGCGTGAGGGCCTCTTTCGTCACTGTGGGGCTGGGGAGCTCCTGGCAGTGTCCCTTGGGACTGAGCAAGGATGGGAACAGGTCTGTGGCCACTGGGCGCAGCCCAATGCAGCAGCTGCATGGCTGCGGTGTGGTAGCTTGTGGCCAACAGCACTGGGCTAGAAAACCTCAAGGCGAGGGCACCTCTGGGAGTGGGGCCAGGGGGGTCGTTTCAGCTGTCGTGGGGGTGTGGGTGCTGGTGGAGAGGTCCTGCTTGCAGTGCAGGGGCTGCACATGGGCACAGGCAGGGAGATGGGGCCGCTCAACCCTGCCTGTCCAGAGCCCTTCCCTCCCTGGCGATGGGCAACTGCAAAAGGCTTCATGAAATACTCACTGCGCTGCTTGAGTGCCCTGGCTCTGGGCTTAATGGCGCTGGCCATGCAGTGGCCAGCCAGCTCGTCCCCTTCCATGGGCTGTGGCTTAATAACCCTTGAGGCTCCATGAGCGCCTGAACCAGCCCAGGGGACTGCTGACTCCTGGCCCAACTGGCATGTCAGATGGATGCTCTTTGCCTCCATCATGGCAAATGTTTGTGGCTGCTGCAGGACAGCAAAAGACTAAGTCACGGGAATCTGTGGCTGCCAGCAGGGAGAGCATCGGGGGGTTTCACGGCCCCCCCCGAGCCTGCAGGGTGAAGAGCTGTCTTCTCGTGGCAGCTTCCTGCTCAGGAGCACCCACATCTGCGTTTCCAGTGCGCTGGTAGTGGCTTGTTTGTGCTTCTGTTCAAGAAGAGGTGACAGTTCAGTCGCTTTTCAAAAGGGCAGGCTTGCAGGGGAGTGCGACCCGCTGCAGCCACCTGGGATCGCCCAAAAGCCCCTCCCCCCCCATCTCTCATCTCTGCTCATTGCTCAGACCCCCAGGAGCAGCAGTTTTGCTGTCAGGCGTGAGTCCTTTGGGTCAGATTTGCGTGCAGCTGGTTGGATACCACACAGCAAGGAGGAATGGCCGTGCAACAGAAAAAGGCTAATGGGGAGAAACGAAGCCGGTGCTGACCCGTGGCCCCAGGTCAGCACCCAGGGAATTGGGAAAGAATAGGGTCCCCCTGTAAGGACAGGAGGGGGAGTTTGCCTCCTTCAGCTTTCCCAGTGCAA